CATCTATAACCCAAAGGCTCTTTTCAGAGCCACCCACACTTTCATGAAAAGAGCTGTTGTGCTTGCATGTTCCTTTTTCGGTAGAGACCTAGTAGAGTGATATCAGTGCTTCTGTTTTTATTTAATGGAGCTACTTAGCTCTAGGGTACGAAGTGAAATTTTAGAGAAAAACTGCTTAAATTATCGGGTTTTCTGTACAACGCTTCTCTCTCGATAAAACATGTTAGTTACTTTCCAACTGGGCATACACAAACACCAAGACTCAGTGAAAGCCACACACACGGCTTAAAATTAATGAGTGCGCACCTACATGAGCCTTTTCAACGCAAGGGATTTACTATCTGGCCAGTAACGCGGGAAGCGATGTATGTTATTTTACGGGAGCTCTAAAGATAAGGAACCACCCCCACCCACACATTAAGACTTTAAAAAAAAAAAAACACGAAAATCCTAGACTAACAGCGAGCTGTTTTATCTTCTTCAGGGATAGCATCTTTGTAAGCCTCTTAAAACATTAAAGCATAGATACAGCTCTTTTCCGTGTGAACGTGGTGGCTCTTAAAAGAGCCTTTGGGTTTAAGTGGTTGCAAAAGGGGGGGATTTAAGCTCTTTCCCCACGGATGCGCCGAGCCAACTGGATGTCTTTAGGCATAATAGTGACTCTCTTGGCATGAATAGCACACAGGTTGGTATCCTCGAAGAGACCAACCAGATATGCTTCGCTGGCCTCCTGTAGGGCCATAACGGCCGAGCTCTGGAAGCGCAAGTCAGTCTTGAAATCCTGGGCGATTTCACGGACAAGGCGCTGGAAGGGCAGCTTGCGGATGAGCAACTCAGTAGATTTCTGGTAACGGCGGATCTCTCGCAAGGCAACAGTGCCGGGCCGATAACGATGAGGCTTCTTCACTCCCCCAGTGGCAGGCGCGCTCTTCCTGGCAGCTTTAGTAGCCAATTGTTTGCGAGGGGCTTTGCCACCAGTAGATTTACGGGCAGTCTGCTTGGTCCTAGCCATTCTGTATGGTTAGTTCTAAGGCTAGAAATAAGAAACAAATGAATAAAAGCGAGTGCACTGACTGCTCTTTATAGACAAACTCTGTATCATGATTGGATGAGGAGGAGACGGCAACTCTCATTGGACTATTCAAAATACGTTTTACTCCTCTCTCCTTCCAAATGTTCATTGAGGAGGCGGTCAGAAAAAAGTGGCCACGAGTTTATGAGATCCATTAATTATATCAGAATTATAATCGATCAGTCACTTAAGAAATACCTCCCTACAACCACCCCATCCACAACAGTTCCGGGAGTACTACTAGCGTGCTGGAATCGGAGCTTTCTGTAAATAACGCGGGCTTTTCAAATGTTTTTTGAATAGTCCAATGAGAGTTGTCGTCTCCTCCTCATCCAATCATAATACAGAGTTTGTCTATAAAGAGCAGTCAGTGCACTCAAACTCATTCATTTGTCTCTTGTTTTTCGACTTAGGAGAAGTAGCTATACAGAATGGCCAGGACCAAGCAAACTGCCCGTAAATCTACTGGTGGCAAAGCCCCTCGCAAACAATTGGCTACTAAGGCTGCCCGGAAAAGTGCGCCTGCCACTGGGGGAGTGAAAAAGCCCCATCGTTATCGCCCCGGCACCGTAGCCCTGCGAGAGATCCGCCGCTACCAGAAATCTACTGAGCTGCTCATCCGCAAGCTGCCCTTCCAGCGCCTGGTCCGTGAAATCGCCCAGGACTTCAAGACTGACTTGCGCTTCCAGAGCTCGGCCGTTATGGCTCTACAGGAGGCCAGCGAAGCATATCTGGTTGGTCTCTTCGAGGATACCAATCTGTGTGCTATTCATGCCAAGAGAGTCACTATTATGCCCAAAGACATCCAGTTGGCTCGGCGCATCCGTGGGGAAAGAGCTTAAAACCCCTCTTGCAACCCCCTAAAAACCCAAAGGCTCTTTTAAGAGCCACCACGTTTACACGGAAAAGAGCTGTCTCTCTCTTTTAACTGGCTTGGAAAGGTACATACTATCAGTTATCGTTGAAGATAAAACAGCCTGCTGTTGGTCTAGGATATTCGGGGGTAAGCTTAATGCACAAATAGTCTTATATTCTTATCAGGAAACCCCCTTTCCCTGCAATTCGTGGGTGGGGTTAGTTCCTCCTCATTAGAGCTCCTACAAGCTAACATAGCTTCCTACGTTACTGGCCAGATTGAAAAGTCCCTTACTTTCACTGAGGTTTGGCGCTGGTGTGGTGTTTAGTGGGTGACTAGACAGCAAGTATGAAAAATCGGGACAGGAGATTTATTTGGGGGGGGGGGGGAAGGGAGATAAAATATATATATTATATATATATATATAAATTTGCTCCTCTCTATAAAAATCAGGACATCTGGTCTAGGTGTATGTGATTTAATTACTTCCGCAGGTAGAAAGTGAAAGGACTAGCTTACATTTTATTTACAGAGCAAAGTAGTGCAGTTCTACAAAACTTAACTTTCACCGAGAATAACACATTTATTGGTTTGATTAAATATATAATCCACACGAATATCGCTCTAGCAGGTTTCTCTATCGAAAAAGGAACATGCAAGCACAACAGCTCTTTTCATGAAAGTGTGGGTGGCTCTGAAAAGAGCCTTTGGGTTATAGATGTTTTCTGAGATAATTACTGGCACAGGTTAGCCTCCAAATCCGTAGAGAGTACGACCCTGGCGCTTCAACGCATAAACAACGTC